TACCTTATTTTGCTGTATGTATCAAGAATTTTTTTTCCTGAGAAATGCTCTTTTGAAAACTGCCCATGCCAAACCTCATTTCTAACGACTTTGGTAGGAAATGGGCTGCAAAATATGTGAAGGGAATTAAAAAAAATAAGTTGGACCCTCTTCACACACACACACACACACACACACACAAAGAAGAGGAGAGATCACTCTTTTTTATACTGACGCTTGACTATTGTATGAGCGATTGAGATTCATTCTAAAATTAGTGCTCATCATAATTTCAATGCATTGCACTCGTACCTAATTTGTATTCGAAGACAAATCAACCATTAGTTAGGCAATCAAGGATTGTAATAACATAGTTGTCTTCCACTATATTTCTTTATAGTAGAGAGGATCCAAACCCCACATGGATACAGACACTGGTTCAGTGTGGTTCTATTTGTTCTGTTTTGGTATTGGCCTTGGGTTTGTCCAGTCAAAAAGGAAACAAAAATTAAAAAAATCCTTCAATTCCCCTGCTTGCGTCCTCATCTTTAAGTGAAGATCCTAGCGATCAACTTGCTCGCAATAATATATTTTAATTTTAACCATTTAAAATTGGTGAGAGTATGATGCGAGCTTAGTATCAACAAATATAATAATAAAGCTTAGGGGAAAAGTTTGGAACAATTGAAAGAGAAAAGAGCACATGCTTTAGAAAACTAGAGTTTTTTTAAGGATAAAGGAGGGGATCTATTACATACCCTAGCATATGCATAAAATGAAAAGATAATTGTACATAACTATAGCCCCATTAACAATCATCATCGATCAAGACAAAGCTATGTGTGGTGCAATTTATAAAGTCTTTCCTCAAACTCACCATCGCTTTTGTTCATGGCACCTCCATGTGAATGCCTTACAAATTAAACTTTCAATAAAAGCATAATGTTTACGGTGAGAAAGTTTCCATAAAGTATGACAAATGATATTGTAGTAAAAAAGAAGAAAGTTCTGAAAAATGTTGGAAAGAAATAAGAGATAAATAAGATGTAGATAAAAGGAGCTAATTAGTAAATTTGTACAATCAACAAAATCATTGGGCTCCTCTCTGTATCTTAAGAATACTTTTTCTGCAGGAGTAACATCTACTTAGCGAAGTGAGGGAATCAATACTTTCTTTGATCATTTTGTGAATGCCAATACCGAGTTGCGTGATTTTGTTAAGCAATATGGTAACAACATTGGAGCTTGACGAGCCACTGAAATTCAGCTAATTTATGGTTTACAAACTCAATTTGCATTGATAATTAAATATCTGATTAAAAACAAGCTAGAGAGAGTTATACAAAGAACATGTTTAATATCTTTCAAAAAGAATTCAATGATAGTTACTCTATGCTTCATGAAAGATCATCAAAGGATGACGCGAGTGCCACATATGCTGTTTAGATGATAGATGGGGAGGTTGAAAGGAAAAAGATAGTAAAGCATCATGTTGTCTTTGATGCATCCGAAGAAAAAAGAATTAAGTATATTTGTGCTAAATTTGAGATGTAATGTATATTATGCAAACATAGCTTGCACATTTGAGTAAAAAATAAGTATTAGAGATTCCATCAAGATATATATGATGGACAACTGATGCAAGGCATGTTGGTTGTCAAGTTGTTAGAAACTGCGTTACAAATAGTGAAAATAAACTTTCTATCATTAAACATTGGGCTCTTAGAGCAAGATGTGACAAGGCACTAGAAGGTACATTGACTTTAAGTGCACTTGATGACAAGTTTAGTAGTCTTTTAGACTTATTTTTTTAAGAAATTGAGAATCATAAGAAAGAGAAGCAACTTAAAAATCATGGAGATGAGAGCAATTGCTAGCAATAAGGTGCCTACTTTATCCATAGTCGTCTCTATGGAGCAAGCAACTCAAATCACTATTCATGAACCGAAAAAGCTCGTCACTACGAAGGGACGACCAATACAAGTTGCTAGAATTAAGTCCGGAATGGAGAAAGTACAAGAAAAGAATATAGAAAAAACAAAGATTTTTGTGGATTTTGTAAGGACAAAGGACATTATGTAACGAGTTGTCCTTTAGCTAAGGTATTATCTTCAATCTTGATTTGTTGTTGTTGTTGTTGTTGCTATTTTATTTTATTTTATTTTATTTTTTGATGTGCTTCTCATGATAAAGTTGCATTTTTTTGTAGATGAAAAATGATGCAAGTGGAGGACAAAAAAGTTAATGATTAAAGGGGGAAAAAAGAAATCTGCAAGAGCATTTTGGAGGAGCAATTCTCTAATTACTTATATGTGTTGTGATTGTATGAACTAAAATTGTGTATGGAAGCAATTATATGTTGTTTGAACATTGTAGTTCTTTGGACCTTAAGTTTGCGAGTTTATAATGTGGTTGTATGGAATAGCTCTTTGGAGTAGATTGTGTTTAATTCGTTGCATTGAATAATCGTTCTAACGACAGTTTGTTATGTTTTGATTGTTGGTCTAACTTATATTTTTTCCTATTAGTGTTAAGTGTTGATGTATGGTGGATCTTTAGATGTATGAATTAAGTATGTGGTTGCATGAACTAAATGAGATTTTTTTTTGTGTGAATAACAGAAGATGGCTTGGTCCTTGTTGTGCATTTTACAGACTTCTATAAAATGTAAGGGACTAAGTCTCATCTTCTACATACAGGGAAAAAAAGCAAAAAAAGCTAAAAAAAAAAGAAAAGAAAAAAGTGATGATAAACAAATGGGATTTTGATGATAGGAACTAAGTCCCCGTCTTCTACACAAATATTTACAAAAAAATTCGCATGTATCATCTACAAATTTTTCAAACTATCAATTTGGATTTTAAAGACAAGTCACAATTCATCAAATGCTCTTCTCAAAATCATTCAACAAATATTCAAGACTTAAACTCATTCAACAAAAAAAAATTCTCAAATTCATTCGAAAAAATTTATAAAACTTCTTTCCTCAAATTCATAAAACTTCAGTCATCACAATTCATCAAATATAAAAAAAATTGTGAGATGTGTAGTGGCAGAAGGAGGGTGCAGAGGAAATCTAAGAGGTTGTCAGTGAACTAAAGAATATAAACAATTAATTAGTAATTAATAATAACATAAAATACAATAAAAAAGGAATATAAACAATAATCAATAAGATTTTTCGGTACAATTAGAAAAGACACCTAAAAGGTGGTGACCAGACCTAGCTCATCGCAAATGCTTCACCTTCTCTAATGGCGCGTGACCATCTCCCACATCGGCTCCCATCATCTTCAGTCTAATTCCCATCACCGATGGTGAAATTAAGAAACAACGATCAAGATCACTTAAAATATTGGGATTCGATCAATGGTTTCGGCCAAGTCATCGTCATCTAGGGCTTCGGCACAGTCGGGGGTGATCTCGTGGGGATCTAGCATTTGAGGATGCAAGGGAGTGGGGTTCTGCTTGCCGACCAAAGGCCGAGGATTTGATGGGGGTAGGCATTGAATGCCAAGTAAGGGAGCTGAGGTCGAGGAAACTGAACAAAGGAGGGCGAAGGTCAAGGCTTTGATGAGGGATGAGCATCGGCAGTCAGCTTGAAGGAGGAGGCGGCGAATTCAAGGGTTTGAGATAATGATCTCAATGGGTTGTTTGGTTCGTTTCCTATATACAAGGAAATGCAATTCCATGTAAAGAAACACAACTTTTGAGTTTTCCAAACTTTTCCAACAAATAGATTGTTTTGGTTTGGTTCGCACATGAAATTTGGTGGGAAACTATTGTATTGACTTTTCTTGTGTTTGGTTTGTTTTGAAGTGCGTACGGAAAAGTGTTTATGCTCACCATGGTAAGATTATCCCCTACTATAGACAAATTTATTTGTGACCCTTATGGGAGGTAATCTTAATCATATAAAAGTGCGAAAGTAACATGAACAAATTATAATATCCTGAATTCATTATAATTATCTGTTTGTCTTAACAAAATCAAATGAAACCTGAAATAATATGAATTAATTACTATGAACTGTGTACCTAATTTGACTTGAAATATACCTGTTTGAGATGAAAAAATCACACGAAACCTGTTTTCCAAGAAAAAATAAACGAGACCTGTAATAATATGATTATTCATAAATTTATGAAATACGTACCTAAATTAGCCAAAAATTCTTATAAAACCTATAAAAATCATATAAACAACCTGATTATATGTAAAAGTCAAAGATCGAAATGAAAATTGGAACACTTACAAACAGCCAGTGTATATGCAAATTATGACCATAGGCTCAGAACTTGTTTAATATCATCATTATTAGCCATCCAGTGCAATATCAACAGATATTATAGGTTGCTAATCTCAGAAAAACTAATAATCATCATACCCTAAATTGAACACCTACAAACAATATCAAAATCAACAAATCTCGTTGAACACCTGAACACTAAAGTGAACACAAAACTAAACACATGTAATCAGCATAAGGAAACACAACTGAAGGAAAATGAATTAGGAAAACTGAACGTTACTGATCAGGAAACACCAACCAACAATGAATCAAGAAACACCAAAACAGTTTGCCCAACAATCTCACCAAACATGAACCAACCAGGAAACACCAACCAACAACCAACCAACAACACCAACCAACCAACCAACAACACCAACCAACCAACAATCCAGAGCACATGTAAGCGGCAACTAAGCAACCAATATCAACTAACCAACCAACAACACCAACCAAAAATATCTACCCAAAATAGTCTCAAGAAAATACCAAGGGGCTGAACACAAACAGTGCACAAAAACTAGTCATATGTACACAAATTCTTATGAAACCTATAAAAAAACATATAACAACCTGGTTATATGTAAAAGTCAAAGATCAAAACAAAAATTAGAACACCCACAAACAGCCACATGTATATGCAAATTATGGCTGTGGGCTCAGAACTTGTTCAATATCATCATTGTTAGCCATCCAATACAATATCAATATATATTGCAGGTTGCTAATCTCAGAAAAACTGATAATCATCATAACCTAAATTGAACACCCACAAACAATATCAAAATCAACAAATCTTGCCGAACACCTGAACACTAAAGTGAACACAAAACTAAACCCATGTAATTAGCATCAGGAAACACAGCTGAAGGAAAATGAATCAAGAAAACTGAATATTACTGATCAGGAAACACCAACCAACAATGAATCAAGAAACACCAACCAACAATGAATCAAGAAACACCAAAATAGTATGCCCAACAATCTCACCAAACATGAACTAGGAAACACCAATCAGGAAACACCAACCAACAACCAACCAACAATACCAACCAACCAATAAACAAAAACTGGTCATATGTACACAAATCTGGCTGAGCACAAACAGTGCACAAAACCAATGTCTGAACACAAGACAATGCACAAAAACTGAGCACAAAACAGAACAAACCTAAACACAAATGATATACCAAGTGCCTGAACACAAACATCATACAAAAACAGTGCCTGAACACAAACCCACTAACACAAAACTAAGCACAAATAGTGCACAAAAGCCTTGAACACAATGGAAATGTGCACAAACCTGAGCATCAATATTGTGTTAATGAAAACAAAACAACATCCACAAAACAGAATAGAACCTGAATACAACCAAGTTTTAGGAACACCAACAAAATAGAAATCCCCATGTTTCATGAAAACTGAACAAAACAGAACAGAACATCTACACAACCAGGTTAATGAATAGCATGCAGTCACATGTTTCATGAAAACTCGTTTTATGAAAACTTACTACAAAATAACCCAGAGTAATAGCCATCCAGTACAATGTGTGCACATTGTAGGTTGTTTGCATCTTAAGAAATTGTATGGTGACTTATAAATATCCTGCAGTCACAAGTTTAATTTAAAGGTCAGTACACTATAATATTTACATCATGAAAGGTAATATTACAAAATGGACGCAAATAACTACTTACTACAATATTATAATAATATGTTCCATCGTCATAATGTTCAATAATGTTACATCCAAGAGTAGTTCTCTAAGTTAAACAAGATTAGTCTTTCACCAAAAGTAAGTGGATTTCAAACGTAAATGTCCTTCAAGTGAGAATCACAAAATACCACGCATACCCATAATAGGTCTTCAACCCTCTTTGTTGAGAAATGACTCAATCATTTCCTTCTGACCCACCGAAGATGTGCCCATAAATAGTATTGATTCATGCTCATTCAAAAAGAGGTGACGGTAGTATGTATCTAACTTGACAACACTAAAGTCTTGTGAATGAGCATATATGACCGTGGATAACTTCTCGGTCCAATGTATATTTAAGCACTTCATGTTTGTGCTAAATACATCTATCTTATCCACCATTTTTAGCATGATCTCACTATCTAGGTTGCTTCATGTTTGTGCTAAATACATCTATCTTATCCACCATTTTTAGCATGATCTCACTATCTAGGTTGGTCTTACGAGTCTTTACCTTGGCGGATGATGACTTAGCCTTAGAGCTTGATGTGTTGTGTGCTTCATTAGGTGAAGGAGTGTCCTCGTCATCTAAAATGTGTACTTCAGTAGATTGGGGAGAATGCATTGGTGAGTTCATCTCATCTCCAAGATTTATGGTCTCACTACGGCTAAATTTTTTCCAAGCATCACTAGCAAATTGTCCTGTAGCTTGATCATCACCGATTATAAGGGCGAGATCATCATAATGCCTCAAGGGTTTATTGACATATTGTCTAAGCTTAGCATTCTTAAAGCTCTTGTCCTGAAAAAATATATTTTAATTAATTCAATGAAAATAAGTAAAAGAAATGGAAAAAAACACATGCATTTCCTGAAAAAATATATTTTAATTAATTCAATGAAAATAAGTAAAAGAAATGGAAAAAAACACATGCATTAACCAGAATTTATTTACCTCAATCCACCTATCCAAACATTCAGGCTCCATAATGACAGTCTTCGTACTTTCATCCCATCCAGCACCACTGAGATTACGACAAGTTTCCATATCACGAAATCTTGTTCGTAGAGTTTTGATGCGGTGCATGACATTATCCCACTTAAAAACTGTATTAAACTTCTCATTAATGTGTTGAGAAGCCATATGAAAAGCAGTTCTCTTAAAGCTTTTGTCGGGTTTATAACCCTTTCTTACCAAGTCGGCAAGAAATGGAATAAGCTCATCATCATAACGGGAATCCCAGAACAAATGTTTGGTTCCTTGAGAACCACCTGCTTCATCATTTTTTTTGGATGTGGTTTTCTTCCTCTTCTTTGGATTTGGCGATGTTTCTACCCCTTCTTCTACGAGGTCTAGTTTGGAACCTGATTCGGGAGTAGATCCATTACCACTAGTGCGAGAAAGCTGTACCCTACTAAGATTAGGACTGTGAAATTGTGGAGGTAAAGTTGGAGAATTAATCATGTTCGTATATGACCCCAGAGTATGGTGCATCGGAAAGTAGCTACTATCATGGAATGGCATGTTCGGATATGCTTGAGATGGTTGTACAAAGTATGATTGCTGAAATGGAAAATATCCACCATCGCCGTGATGCACAGACTGGGGGGGCTGAGGTGGTGGGGAAGGTGATGGAACTACGCCCTTGCCTTTTTTATTATCTCTCCCACTTAATGATGAATTATCAGCCATTACTAATTAAATAGAAAAAAGATAGATAACTGAAAGAAGTAAAACATGAATAAGGTAATTAAAAGCAGAACGCCATTAATGGAAATAGAGTTATTGAGTACATATATGAGCATAAATAAAACAAAAATAAAATTCAAGTCTCTGTGGTTACACCATGATTATACTTATCACAGTAGTCCACCCACATCGCCCAAGCAATGTTATCCCTTAGAGTCTTCCACTCATTTCTTGATTCAGTTTGCTCTCTTTGGGATTGATTTTGACTAAAATCAACTAAATTAGTGTCATTCTCGAAGGCCACCTCACCATCAATGTCTTCATTAAATTCATCATCGTTGAGTAGTTCATCTCTTGGATCCACAGTTGCAATGAAATTATGGAGTACCATGCATGCTAATACAATATCTACTTGTATAGGAAATGGATAATGCGGCTTAGCACACAAAATCTTGAAATGATTCTTCAATGTGCCAAATACAGATTCAATCTTAGACCTCAATGAAGAATGTCTTAGATTGAATAATTCCCTTTTATTCTTAGGTGTTTTACCCGAATGTTCTTTCAAATGATATCGAACACCTCGGTATGGAGAGATGAAACCTGGCATGGTTGGGTACCCAGCATCACACAGATAGTATTTGCCTACAATTTTATTAAGATAATTGTTAAATTAAGTTTGAATATTAAACTTAATAAATTTTAAGGTAAGTATTTATTTAATTACCATCATAGACTCTCAATCCATGTGGTTGTGGTCTAGACAATGCATCCTGAAGAATTCTATAATCATTTGCAGACCCCTCCCAACCTGCTAGAACATATGTGAATAGCTTGTTTGGGGTGCAAGCTGCAAGCACATTTTGTGTAACACCTTTGCGGCCTCGAAAACGTGAAACAAGATTAATCAGAAGCATTTGATGATCACATTTTATTACAATTTTATACCCTCATTATCTATTTTACATGAATAAATATACCATTAATAATTGTTGTTAGCTTAGTTTGCACATAAATGAATGAGAATATAAATAAATATTATTAAATGTAAAAACCCCTTAAAAATCTCTCTTCTCCATTTTGTAGCATTTTAGAAGTCCATCAAGCAAAAGCCCACAAATGAATGCTATGAAGCAAGGCCAAAAATCCTCCTACACATCATGCTCAAGAAGAAGCCACAAAAGCCCAAAGCTCATCAAGAAAAATGATTACACCAAAGAATGAAATGGCCTTGGATGCAAAGAGTGGAATGAATTGGACTTGGTTGCAAAAAGTCCTCCAATCAAAACCGAATCTGATTTGCTACAGGACCGGACTAGTTGCTGCAAACTTTGGTCCCAAAAAAAAATTCATATGCATTGGGCTGCTGCAACTTTGGAGAAATGGGCCGGTTGCTTGGTGTTGAAAACCATCTAAAATGTGTACTTGAGGGGATTAGGAAGTATGCATATAGAGTTTGCCTTATCTCCAGGATTTATGGACTCACTACGGCTAAACTTTTTCTAAGCATCACTAGCAAATTGTCTTGTAGCTTGATCATCTCCGATGATAAGGGCGAGATCATCGTAATGCCTCAAGGGTTTATTAACGCATTGTCTAAGCTTAGCATTCTTAAAGTTCTTGTCCTGAACAGTATAGTTTAATTAATTCAATAAAAATAAGAAAAATAAATGGAAAATAAAATGTATTCTTTAATAAGAGTTTATTTACCTCAATCCACATATCCAAACATTCAGGATCCATGATGACAGTCTTCGTACTATTATCCCATCCGGCACCACTAAGATTATGACAAGTTTTCATAACACGAAATCTTGTACGTAGAGTTTTTGATGTGGTGCATGACATTATCCCACTTAAATATTGTGTTAAACTTTTCATTAATATGTTGAGAAGCCATATGAAAAGCTGTTCTCTTAAAGCTTTTGTCAAGTTTGTAACCCTTTCTTACCAAGCCAGCAACAAATGGAATGAGCTCATCATCATAATGAGAATCCTAAAATAAATGTTTGGGCCCTTAAGAACCACTAGCTTCACCATTTTTTTGATGTGATGTTTTTCCTCTTCTTCTTTGGATTTGGTGATGTTTCTACCCCTTCTTCTATGAGGTCCCGTTTGGAACCTGATTCGGGAGTTGAGCCATAACCACTAGTGAGAGAAAGTTGCATCCCACTAAGATTAGGACTATGAAATTGTGGAGGAAAAGTAGGAGAGCTTAGCATGTTCGTATATGAATACATGAATGAAAGAAGTAAAATATGAATACATGAATTAAAAGAAAAAAATAATAACTAAAAATAGAGTTAAAGAGTACATATATGAGCATAAATAGAACAACAAAAATCATAATCAAGTCTATATGGTGTTTGCGTCGAAAGTTGATTTATTCATGGAACTCATTACAACTTAAATCGTTTACAACAAGTTCAAAAGAGTTAGTCTTTTTATAAGACTTTTTTTACATGAATAAAAAAAATAAAAATACAACTTTCTAGAAACACACGCAGATGATGTTTATCACGTGCTACTTGCGTGAGTTCTTTGCATGTGCCAGAGTTTATCCATGGACCACCGTGAATCAGATGCGGTTGATCAGAATAAAAGATCAATGCTCTTGCTTCACAAAAGAAATAATCACAGAAGTAAATAATCTCGAACAAGCAATATTACTACTCTTCTCGAGATCAAAATCAAGTTTGATCTAGAAGAAAAGGGAATGAGCCTCAGATCTCTCGAACTCTCCCTCTTTATGCTGAAGAACTTCGCCAAGATCTGCTAGCCTCTCTGAAATTCGTTAGAACCATACCCTAGCTCCTCTAAAATTCATAGATCTCTTCAAATCTGCCTTTATGAGGGTGCTAGGGGTGTATTTATAGATTCTAAATATCGTGTTTATGGATAGAATCAAAGAACAATCATTATTATACGTTTAGGTGGGTTTTCGGTTGTGAAACAGCTTCCACACGTTTAAGGATAACCCCACATGTTTATGGATTACCCCAAGAAGTTTTAGAAGTCAATCTTATTAGAAAACACGTCAAGAGCTGACCTGGACACGAGTCACTTCGAAGTGACTCAGAATTTCTGAGTCAACTGAGCTCGATGGACCACTTTTTTTATTGACTTCTGTAATGCATCATTATGCTTTTGTATAGTCGGAACTTCTCTTTTGAACAAAATTATGCTTTTATTATTCCGTTATCATTCCTCAATAACTTGCACATTTTTCTTTTTGTTGGCTAACACTTAGGATTTTTGGCGAACTTCTAACTATCAACGTATTTGACTGCACTGTTTGATATGACAAACTAGTATAATTTGGAAATTCTTTTTATTATTGCTAGAATAATTCTAGATAATTTCGATCGTCAGAGGTATAATGTGAACTTGACTACATACAAGCTGGGGAAGGTTTAACATGGTTTATTACCCTCTTATTCAATTGAATTCCAAGTAATGAACCCCCAGTCTTGATTCATTATCTCAAACTTGGCTAGCAAAAATAAACATAATTTATTACTCTCCCTTCAAATGAAATAAGAAAAACTAACCCCCGGTCTAGGGAAAGTTGATTCATTATCTCAGACTTGGCTAAGGATTAGGTGAAGGGGACTTCATGGCTTACGAGTAATAATTCTTAAAAAATTTCCCGTTAATAGGCATCATGAGTCTATCGCCTTTCTGGTTGATGAGACGGTATGCCCCATTCGAATAGACTGATTCTATTACTAATGGTCCTTCTCATTTAGGATTGAATTTTCCCTTAGTCTTATGTGTCATCACCATGGGTCGTCTGACGGCTATGACCAAATTGCCTTTCTTGAAGATTTTCTCTTTGACCTTCTTGTTGTAGGCTTTGGAGATTCCATCTTGATACAACTTGATCTGTTGCTGAGTCTGCAATCACCTATCATCTAATACTTCAAGTTCTTGAAGATGCAACCGATGCTATTCTTCATCCGTCATTCCGGTCACAAGGGTGACTCTCAGAGATGGGATCTGGATTTCCAATGGTAATACAGCTTTGCAGTCATATACCAAAAAGAATGGGGTGGTTTTTGTAGGGGTCTTCACTGTTGTACGGTAGGCCCACAAACATTCTCCAAATTTTTCATCCCAATCACATTTGCTCTTGGAGACGAACTTCTTGAGGAGCTTCATGATGGTTTTGTTGAGCGTTTCTACAAGGCCATTGGCTAGCGGATAGTATGTCGTTGATGAGACACTTTTGATCCTAAACTTATCGCAGAACCTCTGAAAACCATGATAGACGAACTGAGTTCCATTGTCATGGACTATTCGTCTTGGTACACCAAAGCACTAAATTACGTGATGTTTGATGAACTTGATCACATTTGAATCTTTGACTTCTTTCAGCGGAATTATGTCCGCCCACTTGGAAAAGTAATCGGTCATTGCCAAGATGAACCAATGTCCTTTGGTCATTGGCGGAGTGATGGATCTACCAATATCCATTCTACACATCTCAAATGGCCAAGATGCTTATGTTAGGTGCATGTTCCCTAGTACTTGATGAATGAAGTCACAGTGGATTTGGCATGCGTGATAACGTTTAGCGTAGTCG